AAAGGTACAATCAATAGATAATACTATAATTACTTACTATATAATACTATAATCACAGATACTTAATAGGTTAAAGGCACAATCGATACAATAATTACTATAATTACTTACTAGATAATACTATAATCACAGATACTTAGGTTAAAGGCACAATGGATACAATAATTACGATAATCACAGATACTAAGGTTAAAGGCACACTCGCAGATACTTATGTAATTAATACAATAATCACAGATACTTAGATTACAGTTAAAATCGATACATGTAAGGTCAATATTGATAGAGTTCTTCCTAACAAGGTAATGAACAAGTTTTAAATTAATTCTATTATTAACATTGTACTGTTTTACTTTCACATGATTTCATATGTCTAACGTGGGAAGAACTGACCCAGGGTACTAATGCGGGGTAACACGTTCGCCTGGCCGTCTCGACAAGATGGCAATGTTTCGGAGATTCCATTACCTAGTCATGCAATCCCATAAAGTATACTGGCCTTATGTAAACAAAGTATACATTGTCATCAATATCAATTCAACTCGATTTACCAGATGGACACAATGTGATTACTGAAAAGACTGACTTTGAAAAGTATATTTTAGCTACGTTAAATTTGTCATAGAATATGCCTATAAATTATAATTGTATGATAAACATTCAAAGACAGTTATTTACATAAAGGGAGATAATAATATTCAACAATACTGGACACGGTATCATGGAGCATTTCTTCCAAAAACAATATTATAAAGTAGGAACACAAACTCGCTAATATTATGATATATAAGAATGGTATATGCACATGACAATACGATGAAAATATACAAGATATAATTCTCTATCAAACTACAAAAATAGAATATATAAGGCACCTACCAGTTATAATTATTATTACTAAATTTAGGAAGAAACTGTCAGCATGCAGCGTAAAATCAGGGACCTTAGATTAATTACCCAGTCGCTGGCTATTGCTAATACTATGTGACCTAAATCTAAATATAGATGACCGTAGTCGTGGTTATCTAGTTACTACATACTATTTATAAACTACTACTAATAAAAACAAATCGAAACTAGAACTGCGAAGCAGTAATGACGGGTTTCACCGGTGCCACGTTACCCTTGAACTTATGTCACTTCCGGTACCAATGAAACCGTTAAACAGGTTTCCACATAAGCATTGCACACATGAAATAAAATGGACGCAGAAACAACCAAATCCAGCAATCAATTCATTTGCTACATGTCAGTGATCCTGTCAAAATTACATTACTTCCGGTGATAATGAAAATGTTAAATTGGTTTATGAAATCAGAAATAGCATCATCACATGGTGAAAATTTTATGTAAATCCTATAATAATTGCCACCTTTATAGACCAAAAACCTTGAAAAATGACTTGTAGAAAATCGCCTATTTCTCTGCAACCGTACAAGTTAAAACCATTTTGAGGTATCTGTATGATCGAATGAGTTCATTCTATTTGTTGATTGGAATCAAATATCATAATTTTAAAAACATTACAAATCTGATTCATTTGAATAAAATATCTGTTTTGAAGGCTAAAAATACAGTTTTTGCCAAAATGACGTTACTTCCGGTGATAATGAAAATCTTAAATTACTTGTATGAAATCGTAAATGGCATTATGTATCACACAGTGAAAATTTCATGAAAATCGAATAATAATTGACACTTTTATTGACAAAAAACCTTAAAAAGTGACCTGTTGAAAATTGCCCATTTCTCCGCAACTGAACAAGTTAGAAACCATTTTGTGATATCTATATGATCGTAAGGGTTCATTGTATTAGTTGATTTGAATCAAATATCAAAATTTTTAACAAATAACAAATATGACTCATTTGAATAAATTACTGGTTTCGAAGGCTATAAATACAATTTTTGCCCAAATTACGTCATTTCCGGTGATATTGAAAATGTTAAATTGGTTTGACCTAGTTAAAATTGACATTACACATCAAATGGTGTCACTTTTATGAAAATCGAATAATAATTGACTCTTTTACAGGCAAACTAGCGTAAAAAGTGACTCATGCATAATTGCCCATTTCTTGGCAACTGCGCATATTACAAATTAATTTTCAAATACATTCTCTCCGTATAGATTATTGCTACGAGTTTATGAAAGTTACGAAGTAATATTTTAAAATATGAAAACGCTGGATGGGTTGTAAATAGCTTAATTTTACACCTTTTTTCACCTTTTAATCGAAATAGCCCGAAAACGGAATCGAAATTAAAAAAACTGGTCCCAACATTTTGTGCGCCTTTAAAGGGCGCACAATTTCAGTTATACCAGATTTGAAAAAAATAATATTTGCTTTCGAAAAATGGTACCTAACTGTCAAAATTGTAGTTTTTTGTCAATTTACGCCACTTCCGGTGCCGACAGATAACACTATTGGTAACAAAAAAAATGACAATTGAGACAACGGAGCATATGAACTTTGTTTTATACAAATCGAACAATAAATAATTAATCTAGGACTGAAAAACTGAATTAGCCAATGGGGGCCAAGGAAAATTACCGAGACAAAAATTTTTCACATTTTTGCCCAAGTCAGAAGAGGACTCGTTATATTTGTGTAAAACACGACAAAAAAATATTCATAAATAAAAAAGTTTTTTGTAAAAATTTAAATTTTCTAAATTTAGCGCCTAATATCTGCGAAGATTTGCCGAAAATCAAAAATCAAAAGTAGCGTAGCTATGTGCCCCGTCTCCGGCTATGCCAAAATGCATCGAAAGTTAAAATCCAATGTTTATTGTTAAAATTACTGCAATATTTCTAAAAACGATAGCTTCGGTGATTTCGGACATTTTGCATTGTCGCAGAACGTTCAAAATAGCTTTATCCTCTAAGTCACACCCACTTTTCCGATAAAACCGAAGAAATCGTAACGATCCGACAATCAGTTGCTGAGATCTACTCAAAACAAAAGAAGAATGACTGACGGGTATCAACACCATCAGATAATAACTTTAAGATACCAGACCATAGCCTACAAATGGTTCTGAAGGTTTTTATAAATCTTTCCAACAAATATGGTAAATATCAGCCATTTAAATTGGAGGAAAGAAAAACAAACACAATTTGCAATAGATGGATAGAGAAGAAAGTTAAACAAGAAAGTTTTTTCATACAATAATATAATTCAGGAAGTAACAATCTGATATGAGCTAATTACCACAGGAACCAACATCTTTTGGTAATCAATTCATTTTATACATTTAGTGATCCTGACGAAATTACATTATATGCAGTGATAATGATAAAGATAAATTAGTTTTTTAAAATCAGAAATGGCAAAGACCCAAAACCTTGAAAAGTGACTTGTAGAAAATCGTCTATTTCTCTACAACCGTACAAGTTAGAAAATCATAATTGTAAAAACATTACAAATCAGACTCATTTGACCAAAATATCTGTTTTGAAGGGTACAAATACAGTTTTTGCCAAATTGACGTTACTTCCGGTGATAATGAAAATCTGAAATTACTTGTATGAAATCATAATTGGTAAAAGGTATCAAACAGTGAAAATTTTATGAAAATCGAATAATAATTGACAGTTGTATGGTCCAAAAACCTTGAAAAGTGACCTGTTCAAAATCGTCTATTTCTCCGCAACTGACCAAGTTAGAAAGGAATTTGTGATATCTATATGATCGTATGGGTTCATTCTATTAGTTGATTGGAATCAAATATCAAAATTTTAAACGAATAACAAATACAACTCATTTGAATAAATTATTTGTTTCGAAGGCTATAAATACGGTTTTTGCCCAAATTACGTAATTTCCGGTGATATTGGTAATGTTGAATTGGTTTGACCTAGTTAAAATTGACATTACGCACCAAATGGTGTAACTTTTATGAAAATCCAGTAATGATTGACTCTTTTACAGGCAAACTAGCGTAAAAAGTGACTCTTGCAAAATTGCCCATTTCTCGGCAACTGCTCATATTACAAACTATTTTTCACATACATTCTCTTCGTATGGGTTATTTCTACAAGTTTATGAACGTATCAAAGAAATATTTTAATATATGAAGGCGCTGGATGGGTTGTAAATAGCTTATTTTTACCCCTTTTTTACCTTTTAATCGAAATGGCCCGAAAACGAAATCGAAATTAAAAAAACTGAGTCCGAGATTTTGTGCACCTTAACAGTGCGCATCTTTTGGATAATATCAGATTTGTAAAAAATAATATTTGCTTTCAAAAAGTGGTACCGAACTGTCAATATTGTAGTTTTTGCTAAATTTACGCGTCTTCCGGTTCCGACAGGAAACTTTACCGGTAACAAAAAAAATGACATTTTGAACCACGGAACATATGAACTAGGTTTTATACAAATCGAACAATAAATAATTAATGTAGGACTGGCGGCCAAGGAAAATTACGGAAACAAAAAATGTTGACATTTTTGTTCAAATCAGATGACTCTTTAACCTTGGTTAAAATGTCATATAAAAATATTAATAAATAAAAAAGTTTTTTGTAAAAATTTAAATTTTCAAAATTTGGCGCCTAATATCTTCCAAGATTTGTCGAAAATCAAAAATCAAAAGTAACATAGCTATGTCCCCTGTTTCTGGCTATGTCAAAATGCATCATATGCTAATATTACGGCAATATTTCAAAAAACGACATTTTCGGTGATTTCGGACATTTCGCAATGTCGCAGAACGCCGGGAATAGCTTTAATCTCTAAGTCACACCCACTTTCCCAGTAAAACTGAAGACATTGTATCGATCCGACAAGAAGTTGCTGAGATATAAGCAAATTGGAAAAAAAAAATAATAATAATAAGAAGAATAATAATAAGAATAATTTTAACAAAAACAATAGTGTTTCACACAAGCTACGCAGTGTGAAACCCTAACTAGCCACTTCTACACTTACACCTTGTCACATACAAGTGCATATCCAAATTAAGAGTGTACTAACTTATGGTTCAACTTTATTTCATGTGGACTCATGACCTTACTTCTTGTCACACACAAGATGTTCAATTTAAAAGTGGGCGTATGAAAACAAATTTAAAAAAATTGGTTTGCAAAAATTAAGTGCATTATCAAAATTGTTCAACAATCAAAATTTTAAAGTGGAAGTTCTCAGCTTTCATCCTGTTCGCCTTCCTTTAGCCAGGCAAAGAAATGAACAACTTGTTTCATGGCAACTCCTTTTCCTTCCTGTTCCGCGGGGTCGTTACTATTAGACCATTGATTAAAGGCATCTTCAGATATAATATCCTCATCGTACAAGGTTTCAAAGAATGTTCTCAGCACACCTGAAAGAGAGAGAAATGGAATTTAACATTCACTCGACAGAATTTATTCAATCACCAGGCCCCGAGTTCACGAAGCATTCTCAGACTTAAGAATTTACTCAACTTTCAATCACTGTTTATGACAATATCTTTGATCCAGAAACACAAAACTTTGCACATAGTTTCTTATTGATGTATTTGATATATTAAAACAACACAAGTTTTATAAAGGGCTATATCTTAGTTAAAATAAGGCAAACAATTTTGAGTAAATTCTTCACTGAAGTCTGAGAATGCTTTGTGAACTCTTGAGCCTGGTTTCTACAGCCATTTTTAAAATATAACAATATAACTATTCTGACTGATCGATCTACTAACCACGATGCACTGACTATTCTGGCCGATCGATCTACTAGCCATGTATTGACTATTCTGACCGATCAATCTACTAACCAAGATGCACTGATTATTCAGACCGATCGATCTACTAACCACGATGCACTGACCATTCAGACCGATCGATCTACTAACCACGATGCACTGACCATTCTGACTGATCGATCTACTAACCATGATGTATTGACTATTCTGACTGATTGATCTACTAACCACGACCTATTGAATATTCTGACTCATCAATCTACTAACCACGATGTATTGACTATTCAGAAACGAAATGAAATGGAGTCCAACATCCTGCTTTTCTGCACGACTGGGCTAATGAAGATGGGAATACACCATTAAGTGTGTTGTGAGGGAAATCTTGTGTTACAGCCTACTCATATCAAATTTCAACTGCACGACACTCTCAATAAGTACACAGGACCTTGGCTTTTTTTTAACTCGTACAATGTTACAAATGACATTTAAAAGAAGCAAATCAGTACGAGGAATTCTGTCTGTCATCATTAGAAATAAGATTGGGATAACTATAGTTCATCATTTTGCTAATTGTGAATTCGTAAATTGTAAATGGCCAAAAATATTGAAATAACATTATTAAGCCACCAGATACACGAGTCGCAAAACCGTTGGCAAATAGAATGAAAAGTATATGGGGTTTAATGTCAAATTTTTCTGAAGTGTGTGTTTCCAATATCAACAAGGGGAATCCATGCTCAGTAATTTGTCTGCGATATCACCTCGGTGGAAGCGGACGTAAAATACAACTAACTCATCATCATCATGCTCAGTAATCCCAATGACTTTTTACATTTCTAAGTGGCTAAATATGCAGTGTAAGGGAGAGAATTTTAACATATGAAATCACAAAAAACCTGTTCCAAAATTGATCACTTCCACAAATAGCTAAATATACAAATAACATTGGATGATAAAATATATAAATAACATTGAATAATAAAATATACAAATAACATTGAATAATAAAATTGGAATAATAAAATATACAAATAAAATTGGAATAATTAAATATACAAATAACATTGGAATAATAAAATATACAAATAACATTGGAATAATAAAATGGATTTCAATAATAAGTAGATGTTTAATTACCTCCGGGATGTTGAAGTTCTTTAACAAAAGCTTGTAGAGCATATAATGCCTGTATTTCAAATTCTTGTTGACTATCTAAATATTTTACTAATAACGACTGACGTTGTTTAATAACATTTTCATTCACTTTATAATTTGGCCCTTCTGAAAAATAACAGAATTAGAATTATAGAATACTTCTAAATGTAGATTTTGTTCTTATATCGAATTCCAATTATCAAGGGATCTTTTACGCATGAGCCAAGTTATCGGCATTACATAAAGAGTGTAGCCTCGATTGTCATTGCTACCGTTGTTACGATAAATAACAATCGTGATCATACATTTTTACATCAGCCGTAAAACGTATTTAGTGTGTTTAAGTGGTTTACATTTTCACACAACAATTTAACTAGTTGCACATTTACAGGAAATACGTTAACTCAAATATTCAACAAATATTAAACATGACATTTTAAATAGCAAATCAGTACGAGGAATTCTGTCTGTCATCATTAGAAATAAGACAGGGATAACTATAGTTCATCATCTTGCTAATTGTCAAGTTGTAAATCGCAAAAAAACATTGTATAGAATGGAAATGAAATTAGGGAGAGAGAGAAATGGTGTTTAACGTCCACTCCACACAAATTAGGTCATTTTAAGACTAACATATGGTTCGATTTTATTTCAATAATTCGCTTGTGTGTAGGGATCTTTAGCAGTTGGAGGAAACTGGAGGACCCAGAGAAAACCCACGAGGTTGGAGGAAATGAAATTGGTATTTCAGAGGAATACCCAAGAGAGGTTGGCCAGTAGACCCTCGTCACAAGTAATTTTGAGATCGAAACCATGCCATTTGACTCAATGACAGACTTTATAATTTACTACGCACGGGTTAACCCATTAGGCCACCCTATTCCCCCCTCCCAATCACCAAAATGAAATCGAGTTTAACGACAACAGTTCACTCGTTCCCGATTTTATAAACAGGGAAAAAATAATCAAAATAGATCAACACTCACCAGATACGGCACTTTTACAGACGACAGTCATCAACGTACGAATAAACTTGGGATTTTTCGTAGATTCATCTGGGATGTTGGCCTGAAAAGATATTTAAATTATATTCGGAACAATCACCCCGAGAAGAGAGAGAGAGAGAGAGAGAGAGAGAGACAGAGAAAATGGGGTTTAACGTCCACTCGACATAAACTAAGTCATTTCGGGACTAACATATGGTTTAATCTTATTTCAATAATTCGCTTGCGTGTAGGAGTCTTTAGCAGTGGGAGGAAACTAGAGGACCCGGAGAAACCCACGAGGTTGAACATGCGACCCTACTCCTTGTCACGTACAACCGGGCATTCGAAACCACGTCAGTCGACTCAATGACAGACTTTATGATAGAGCGCGCGCACGCTAACCATTCAGCCATCCACCCCCCCACACCCAGAGAAAACCCACAAGGTTGGACTGGCGATCCTACAAGTGAGGAATCGAAAACGAGACACCTCGACGGACCGCATGACCTAAAACACATGCCTGAGATTATTCGGCCACCCAACCCCAATATCTTGCATCTTGCATCTTTTTCTTACCTCAATCCAATCAAACATATGTTCATTATCAAAATTCACATCACGTAAACGAACTAATAATTGTTCTTGAATAGTTTCAAACGACACTTTATCCACAGGAGTGGAAGGCTGAGAATCGGCCGCAACTGTAAATTCTAACTTTTCATCAGCCAAAAATTCGGTAACATTTTTAGCAGACACAAAATCAGTCCATTCTAATGCAGAACTCTTCCATAAAGACGCAACTTTCTTGTGTCCCTGGAAAATATAAATCAATATTTGTCAATATTCTGTATATAAACGTAAAATAGGGATTGAAAAGTGAATAGACAATTTCAGTCCAATTACTCTACGTGAAGTTATTCAATAATCAAGAATAAGTCTCGATTATCTATTTCATCATTAAATTTTCAAATGGCACCAGTGTTCTAAATCTACTTAAAATCAAGACTATCAGAAGGTCCATCGAGTTGACGATGGGCCTGTCATGTGAATACATGTCTAATAGTAAGTGCAGGAGGACCGCACTACACGTAAAACAAAAATCTACAAGATAAACCTGCGGACAAGACAGAAAATAGAAATTGCACCAAATAAACAAATATCAAATCAAGTGAATTTTAACATCTAGACGAAGGATCTGCAGTAGGCACAATTAGCTCTTACATTATGCCTCTTTGCTTCCGTATACAGTTTTGATCTGTAAATCATTGGCATCCATATTTGAATATTCTATCTACTGTCAAGTCGAAGTATGACAGTGGGAATAAATGAGACGTCCGTGAGATAATCCACAACGCAAAGACACTTGACGATACTTACCAATCGTTGACTAGCGTCATGCAGAACAGCCGCCACAACCACTCCAGACTTGCCACTGGCTTGTAAAGGTTCACACGCTTGTTTCAGGAAATTTAATGGTACACTTCCATCTTGGATCATAGGACCGATCAATTCCCCTAAATACTGCCAAATCTTTGGAATATCAATCTCCATATCTTCTGCTATTTGTAACGTTTGATTCAATCTAAAATAAAGTAATTCTATGTTAATAAATCATCAGAAATACTTTGTCGTGGTTCAAATTTATTTCAATAATTTGCTTGTACATAGAGGTCTTTAGCAGTGGGAGGAAACTGGAGGACCCAGAGAAAACCCGCCACTTGACTCAATGGCTGAAATGAAATGGGGTTTAAGGCCCAACGGGGCTAATGACGACTAGCATATGCTATACTGTAATTTTGTCTGCATAGAGGCGCTATGGCCTGTCTTATTTTGTCCGTCAATCGATGTGCAATTGTTCAAAGAGCAAGCATGGCAAATTTAATGTCAATCGGATTCAAATTGGCCGAACTTGTTTAAAAAAGAGATGCTCCCAGAAAAACAAGATTACAACAAAGTGTTGGAATCATTTCTTAGTTCAGAGCTCAAGGAAGAAACTTTCTAAAAGACTTGATGCCTTGAGTCACCATCAGGGTTCTTTGTTACCAATATTCCACGCTGAATTTGTACTTACCCTTTAAGGTAGGAATCAACCGAGATTATTTTTTTGCTAACTAAATCATGATGAAGATGTCCGGTTTGTTGACGTGCTTTAGACGATCTTTCTAACACATGATTAATAGAGAATTCTATAAATAAATGGACAGTTGCTGGATTGCTGATCTCGGAAACACACATTAAAGCTTCCTGTAAAACACAATAACCAAACTCTATAAATCACATTCACTCATCAACAAATATATATTAGTTAATCTACAGGTAATATACCAAGAACAACCCAAAACATTAGTAAAATACCCCGGACGAACCAAACATTAGTTAATCCACAGGTAATATACCCAAACATTGTATAATCCCCAAAAGGTAAATTATTAATTATACATAAAGATTGCCTTGTTTCCATGGTAACCAAGCTCCAGTATATTTACCTTGAGATCATTAATATGAAGATATTCATCAATTATTGTTTTTGTTTTCTTTTCCATTTCATCTTCTGATAAAATACCAGGAACCGGAGCAGCTTCTGGTTTATCCATTCTTGGTTCTCGGGATCGGCTTCTTTCTCTACTGGCAGGATTAGAAGATGAGGGCGTCGTCCTTCCAGTTAGATTCCTTTAAACCAAGAATTTTGTATCTAAAGATGCATTATGTAAAAGATAAATCTGCCTGTTGGCTTTAAATGTTTTATTATTTTGACATTTATTAACATGGCAAGCCTATAATTAACTCTCTAGCTTCTTGCATATATAACATGTTCCACGATATTTACCTGACTTGAGCTATAGCTCTGTCTCTTTCTCCCTCCATTGAAGATCGTGGCGTTAAACGACCTCGACCAAATCCTCCATCCTGTCCATGATTTCTGCTATCGCTACGAGCAGGACTGATTCCACGACCAAATGGTCTACCACCTTCCTCTTCAGTATGTAATCCAGTACGAGCAGGACTGATTCCACGACCAAATGGTCTACCACCTTCCTCTTCAGTACGTAATCCAGTACGAGCAGGACTGATTCCACGACCAAATGGTCTACCACCTTTCTCTTCAGTACGTAATCCAGTACGAGCAGAACTGATTCCACGACCAAATGGTCTACCGCCTTCCTCTTCAGTATGTAATCCAGTACGAGCAGGACTGATTCCACGACCAAATGGTCTACCGCCTTCCTCTTCAGTATGTAATCCAGTACGAGCAGGACTGATTCCACGACCAAATGGTCTACCGCCTTCCTCTTCAGTACGTAATCCAGTACGAGCAGGACTGATTCCACGACCAAATGGTCTACCACCTTCCTCTTCAGTACGAAATCCAGTAAACCTACAGCTAGATAAACATAGTTTTAAAGGAGCCGAGTCTTTAACTCAATAAAAATAAAATAAAACCAAGTACGAACAATCCAAACCATTAGACAAAATTCGAAGTCCTAAAAAACTGTATAGGCAATATCATCTACAGTCTTTGACATTGAAAACACGAATTATTTGTCAATTTAAATCAACATTGATGTTGTCATCTTACTGGGAAATGGTGGGCATCTGATATCCAATATTTAAGACAAAATAAACATTTTACCATTGGTACACGAATCGTGTAACAGAATGCGTTTCAGCGCCATTTGTAATAAGGGATTCAAGGAACGAGGCTAGACATATTCCGCAAGTCATGTCAAAAATATGTGACGCTATATTTTTATCTGGAGAGCATGCGTAATAAATACTACAGGTGTAGACTGGAATAACCAGACGCTAGAGATTGCCATTCGAATGAGACAATGCATATTGAACATAACTGATTTGAAATTAAGAGTAAAAACGAAAACTAATGAATGGCAATCAGTTTATAAATATACATTCATATCTTATTATTATATACGTTGCAACCCATTTGTGTTAATTTCTAGGTCCCAAATATTTGCGATTTATCTCCTTTAAACCTTTAAAGGGAATATTATCAAGTACCCACTTGCTAGGAATACACGAAATGAAATGGGGTTTCACGTCCTACCGTTCTGCACTCACCGGGCTAATGAAGCAGCATATACACCTTACAGTGTGCTATGAGAGAAAATATTCCCCGTTCAGAGACAATTAGGGCTACTCGTATTTCTAATTCTGTCACAGGTTCGTTTTTGTACATGTCAAAATGTACACAGGGCTTTGATTTTTTTTTTGTACCATCCGAACAACTAGACGACGTCCTTGACAGGACCTACATCCCGCATTATTATCAAAGGACATTTACACAAGCGACCTTGATTTTTCGTATCATCTGAACAGGCTGGAAAATCCTGGGCATCTATCTCAGCCGGACCTGATACTGAAGAGTATACAGTTATACAGAAGATTAACCCTTCACCTTTTTAACAAGTAGCTGTATGGTTGATTTAGTCATGATAAACGATCATTGTAGACACACTCCTTAACCTCTAATTGACTGCATGGTTAATTAAGTCATGATAAACGATCATTGTAGACCATGCTCCTTGACCTCTGGTTAATAAAGGCATGATAAACTAATAAAGTCGATTGAAAACACACCCTCCTTAACCTCTACTAGTGGCTGTGTGATTAATTAAGTCATGATCAACTATCACCAGCATCTGATTAGATATATGTTACAGTGTATAGAACACTGACTCCTTAACCTCTACTAGTGGCTGTGTGATTAATTATGGCATGATCAACTATCACCAGTATCTGATTAAATATATGTTACAGTGTATAGAACACTGACCCATTTACCTCTACTAGTGGCTGTGCGATTAATTAAGGTATGATCAACTACCACCAGCATCTGATTAAATATATGTTACAGTGTAGAACACTGACCCCTTTACCTCTACAGGTAGCTGTATAGTTAAACAAGATACTCCAGCATACTCTTGTAGATAATGTAAATATATGTTAGAGTATGTTTCTTAATTATGTTCTTAATTATGTGGAACAGTATTTAACAGATTGCCGCAGGCTTAATGCAAACAAACATTATTGTACCATGGACGGGAAATCTTCCTTTGTTCTTTTCGTTGAATAAGCAGATTGTTTTCTCTCTAGAAGATTGGGTGGAGCTTAAGCGTGCAATAACTAGACATGTTCAATGTTATTGCACTCTTTTACTGGTTTGCACTAGTTTTGGTAGAAATCATATAAAGAAGTGGGGTGGGTTTTCAGCGCAATTACAACAAGCATGTTGAGCAGGTGTCAATATTACGCTTCATTCGTTAACAGGTTTAACATTTCGGCATATGGCCTCGATGTTTAAACCTGTTAACTCATGAAAGCCGTGCTATAAATATAACTTATTTATTTCCAATGAATGGTTCGTTTAGATCGTCAAGCTAACCAGAAATGGAAATCAAAACGAATTCTATAATTACCTATTAGCAGGAGCTTTAGCCGGTGAATCGCCTTCTTGAGACGACGAATTTATATGATCACCATTATTACTTCCTCGACCCCAAACACCAAATCGAGATGAACCTCCTCCAGGTCCCACCTGGATGTTCTCATCTACTGTAGTCTGGAATATAAGGATTTTGTTTTACGTTAGAGCATACTTTTTATGTGTGTGAATAATTAGATAATTTTTATCAAGTCAGGCAATATCAGTAACGAGGAATTCAACTGTCATCATTAAATATAAGACAGGGATAACTTTAGTCATCATTTTGCCCCTTTGTTCGGAACCATTTTTTTTTTTTTTTTTTATATATCAACAGACGAAATCTACATTAAATTGACTTAAAATTATTACCTTGGTAATTTTCATTTTTGACAGATCTATGTTACGGAGAGGTTTAGAAGCGACAGTATTCCAGCCATCATCATTACGTTGATTATTCTGTTGTGGTCCTCCTCTATTTGGGGCTGCAAATAAACAAATTATATATCAAAAGTTCTTTATTCTGACTTATTTAAACTATTATTTTGACATTTACAGGTCTTTATTTTGGCTTTAAATGTTATATTCACATGAAAATAAAAAGGTGAATAATACAAATTTATACTTAGGATGATAAGCACGCACACCATTTCATTTCTATTATTAATCTTAGTACAGTTTAATTTAGACCAAATTAAGGTAAAATTAGACCAATGCATACAGTCCAATTTATTACTGCTAGAATATACTATTCAAAAAAAGTAGGGGATATTTGATTTTGGGGGCATAATACTAAAATATGCAAATGACTACGAAAAAAGTCACTATAGAACCTAACAGAAGAAACATTTCCAGTTACATGTGACGCCCAAACGCACCAATAGCTACCGCATGGAATGCAGGTGATGCTTGGGATCATCATGGGGGTCCAACCCAAGATTTGCACGACTCTGACTTTGAATGTTACAGTCATTGTGGCATTGAATTCCAGGGTGGAAACATCAGTTTAATTGTTTTAGTGACCAGAAAACAAATTTTGATATGCGTCGGCTTACCCAAAATGAAAGGTTACGTGCCCTTGGCATGCTACAGATCGGCACAACACAGGCGGTTGTGGCGCGGACGATGAATGTTTCTCAGTCTGTCATAAGCAGGCTATGGTCCAGATACCGTGATACACAATCTGTACAGGACAGACCACGCTCAGGTCGACCAAGGGCGACAACTCAAGCCCAGGATCGATTTATCCGTACCTTGGCCTTGAGAAATCGTGTCATCACAGCAAATCAGATCAGCGCTCGTCTTCAAACAGACACTGGTGTGAGAGTGAGTGGCCAGACGATTCGGAATCGACTGCATAGGGGTCACCTTCGCGCCCGACGTCCTCGCGTGATCCCTTGTTTGAGAGATCATCACATTCAGGCAAGACGTCGTTGGTGTAGGGATCGTCAACACTGGGATAATCGACGCTGGAGCAATGTGATGTTTTCAGATGAGTCAAGGTTCACTGTTGATTTTTTTGACAGACGTAGGAGGGTGTGGCGTCGTCGAAACGAGCGCTTCCAAGACGTTAACGTCATCAGACATGATCGATTTGGGGGTGGTTCTGTTATGGTGTGGGGAGGCATCACTGTTGCTGGAAGAACGGCTTTACATGTTGTTGCAGGGCGTGTTACAGGCCAGTACTACCGGGACAACATCTTGGCAGTCCATGTTGTGCCGTTCGCACGACGTCATAGCCGCCGTTTCATCTTCCAGGATGACAACGCAAGATGTCACAGGGCCAGGATCGTTACAGGTTACCTCCAACAACAGAACATCACCACATTACCTTGGCCAGCACCGAGTCCCGACCTCTCCCCCATCGAGCATGTCTGGGACATGCTTGGACAGAGGTTACGTCAACGTCAACAACGTCCTGCCAATGTCCAAGAACTTGCTGCTGCGTTGCAACAGGAATGGGACAATCTGGACCAAAATGACCTTAGACGTCTCATTAGGAGTATGCCACGTCGGATCAATGCTTGTTTGGCAAACAGAGGAGGATTTACCAGTTACTGACTTGGTTGTGATGCTGTGGTAACTTTGCTGTTTGACCCCGGGTATCATTTTACCCTTATAATGGTCAGTCTGTGCCTTACTTAGTCTAACGATCATTTGGAATAAATCGATGAATGTGAACTTCATTTCATTTTGTCATTTGTTTCTTCGTCAGTTTCATTAGGTGACTTTAATAACACTTAAAAATCAAATATCCCCTACTTTTTTTGAATAGTATATAACAGGAGAGCCACTGTGGCTAAGTGAGTAAGACGCTGGCTCGCTAACCTGGAGGTCGCGGGTTCGCTTGGTTTCCCCCTGTCGTTCAGAGATCTTGTGTACACATTGGTGTGCAAGTAAGAAATTCCTTCGCAGTTGGAATTCGATATAAGAGTAGGCCATAGTGCCACTGTCCAGGCAAAATTTCCCTCATAGCACACTGTATGGCATATATACCCTTCATTAGCCCAGTCGAATCAGAACAGTAGGACGTTAAACCCTGTTACATTTCATTTAATTACTTTCAGTAGGCCTACCACTGATTGCAACATCAATATGTATTCTATTGGCAGACCAAGTAACTCTGAACCCTTGAACCATCAGATTTTACCGTTATTTCATTAGCTGACAAAAGGGATTTATTTATTTTGAAAAGAAATATGTATGTTCGCCCTTGGTATTCTATATTAACCAGCCATGTAATAAAAAAATACATTAACTTACGTCCTCCACCACGAGATCGTCCACCATCACGGCTCTGTTTATTTGAACTTTGAGGTGGATTCTGGGATAGCATATAAGTTCTCTGTGCGTTTTCTTTAGCAGCTTCTTTATGGATCTGATCGATAGTTTTAGGATTATTATCTTCTCTTCTTGGCACCCAGTTACACTACAATATAAATATATTATTCATCAATGAACATCAAATAATTCAATATATAAACATTGTGTTCAAGCAAGTTATATCCAGATATAGGGAACAATAAAACAATGAATCACTGATCAGAAATAGCTGAACAACGAAAAACTCACCAATCGTAAATCTATAACATCCTGTAACATAAATCGTACTCTTGACGATGTTTTCTTCTCTCCAACGATTTTCTGCATTTTCTGAAAGTACTGATCTACTCGAGGCTGAAAGATAAAAGAATTTCTTAGCAAATCGTGATGACAAAAATAAACATGTCGCTTACAGTTGATATCAAGCAAAATCAAAAATAGTAAAGAGTATGTCAGCTCGATCAGGTGATGATTATCCAGCCCCAGATGTCAATGGAAAGTAACCACTCCTATTTACTGGGTTGCCTGCTGGATGTCCGAGAATAGTAACCCCTTCTTTCCCGGTTAACCCTTCTGTCTGCATGATGGCCGAAGTAAATATCTCCCCCTTCCTGCATGAAATTCAAATATGGTTAGGATCAATTTTATTACTCAACAACATCAAGTGTAGTATGTCTTACCTTAGCCTTTTCTTTATCCAATTCTTTTCCTATTGTGGTTAATAATCTACATAAACATTCTAAATTCTCTTCATCTCTCGACCGTAATAATTTAAATACACAATCATGCATAATATTCTCCGTTAACATTTTTAATTTAAATAATTCTCCTATAAATCTGTAAAAAGACAATCGGACAATAAACCTACTGATAAAATCAATCTGACAATATCAGTAACAAGAAATTCAATTGTCATCATTTTACCTGAATACCATCCAACAAAGATAATTTTCATTACGTTTAGAATTATAAATATTGATATATTTCTGGACCTTACAACAAATGATATAGTGATTAATGGCGAGTCAGCATCAAGCGGGCTATTTACCTGATATTTCTTATAGATCTTCTCCTGGCTGTCGTTGCAGCAATCTCCATTTCTTCTTGTAATTGTTTCTTGACATCTTCCTGGAAATAACAAATTATAAATATCTTGTACAAATCACCCAAATCATTTCTACCTCTCCTGTAAATTTCAACCGTCAATGGTTCTTGTACGTGCACATCAATATATAGTCAGAGTCAGGTGGATATGGGTAAACCTTTCTATATCATTTAAACAACGAGCACCATTGAAAACTTCCACAGGTTCCTCACGGTCCAACCTGGTATTTGAACCTGATTCAAAATGCCATAAAGTATGTTGAGTGGATATTAAAGGAGCTAAATCGCTTATATTTAGGACCTAGAAATTGACACAAATGGGTCGCAACGCATGTAATAATGTCATATAAATGTATATAAACTGATTCACGTTCAGTCGTTTCTGTTTTTACTCTAATTTCAAATCAGTCATGTTCGGCGAATACGCCAGAAGGCTCATTTTAATGGAAACCTCTAGCGTCTAGTTATTCCAGTCTACACCAATAGTATATATTGCACATGCTCTCCAGATAAGAATATGTCGTCACCGTTCGACATGACTGGTGGAATATGTCTAGCCTCGTTCTTCGAGTCCCTTGTTACAAATGGCGCCGAAACGAATTATGGCACACAATTCATGTACCAATGGTAAAATGTTTATTTTGTCTTAAATATTGGATATCAGAAGCCTGCCTTTTCACGGTAAGATCATAACATCAATGTTGATTTAAACTGACAAATAATTCGTGTTTTCAATGTCGAAGACTTTGGGTGATATTGAGTTAAAGACTTCGCTACTTTAAACACCATTTCTCTCTGTTACATTCTAGGTAATGGTGTGGTGCCCGTCTTGGTCCGCTTACATGGCCCCTGTCAAATATTAGGGCCCCTGTCAGGTGGAGAGAAGGGAATAACTGGTCAGGTAACAGGTCTTCTGTCAGGTGAAGAGAACAGGTGATATAAAAGTCAACATTTTACTCACTGAAACAGCTTCATCTATTTTCTTCTGTCGTGCTTTTAAATCTGCATCTTTATCTTTCTCAAATTCTCTCTGACATTTAGTTAATAAAATAACCCGGAAATTTATTTTCTCACCTGGTTTGCTATCAGATGGAACCTTCAACTGTAAATAAATTATAATCATTTTGTTCTATCAGTTACCATTACTAATCAGTCCAATCAATTCTGTGAAATTTCTTTTAAAAAGTGGGGGTGGGGGAATTCCGTGAAAAATTGAGGGTGAAACCTTCAAATAATGCTTGAATAATAGAAGAATTTGATAATAAACAAGGTTAATGCTTATCATTCGACACATACTTAATCATTTCGGGACTAACATATTATGGCATCGTTTTATTTCAATAAATTGATTGCGCGTACCGTATGGTTGCTTTATCTGTGGTGGGTGGGGGCTGGTATAAAACCTTGTCAAACGACCCCACCCTGTGTTGTTGAAAAAATTACATAAAACAACAAAGGCACATTGCAAGGAAACGACACATACGCCCACAGCAGCTAAGTCGTCCAAGTCATCTACAAGGGTTGTCATTAGAGGATAAAATTTGTTTGATGTACGTACCTGCATAAGATATCTACACATATTAGCATATGTTACACTATACATTGGTTCACTCACAGCCTATAAAATATAGATAAAACAATATTACTTATACAACTATTAGCCTAAGATACGACTCAGATCTTAAAAGCTGAATGGAATCAAGCTGGCAATATCAGTAACGAGGAATTCAGCTGTCATCATTTAATATAAGACAGGGATAACTTTAGTCATCAATATGCCGTAATTCCATTGGACTTTTAAATTATTTCCCCATAAAGACTTTTTTCGTCATCACCACAGTTATATCATCAATTTGTCAAACTGGACTCCTGTGATGCTCTGTGAGCAATAAATTCACTATTACCATGACAGAGAGAGAGAGAGAAATGGGGTTTACATCCACTCGACACAAACTGGGTCATTTCGGGACTAATATATGGTTTAATTTTATTTCAATAATTCGCTTGCACGTAGGGGTCTTTAGCAGTGAGAGGAAACCGGAGGACCCGGAGAAAACCCACGAGGTTGGACAGGCGACCCTACTCCTTGTCACGTACAACCAGGGATTCGAAACCACGCCAGTTGGCTCAATGACAGGCTTTATGATACAGCACGCACGTGCTAACCATTCGGCCATCCAACCCCCCTTACCATGACAGAGCTACACATATAAACACCTTAATTGTATGGTCATTGAACACGGCACCCATCCTGATACAGTTGGTAGGGTTGGGGGTTTTTTTCTTGTGAAAGAATTAAGAAATATGCCAAAAATTTAAGCTTCTTTAAAATATTACTTTCAACTGTTTTTAATGTCAAGGGCACAAGGTGCCTGTCGTAACAAACTTCATGTATAAAAAGAAAATCCGTAGCAATCAACCTCCTTGTAACAACCCTAAAGGTCCTTATTGGCACATAGCTGGATATTTTGGTGGCAATACCAACTCCTCCCCCCACTGAATATAAATTTTTTGTAAAATTCTCACCTGTTCATATATTAAATCTGTGACACCTTTTAATCTTGTTTCTGTGTCGATATTTAAATCCTGAACTTGTTTTAATAAAGTCTTGAATTTCTGGGGAGTTAATTTATTCAAAATACTTTTCACACGTTTATAGATTCCCTGAAAGATTAGACAAGCTTTATGTAATGGCAAGATTATGGATTCTACAGTCGGATGATAACATTAGCCTCTACAAGGTATGATCAAATTCTCTCAAATGTTATCTGAGGTGAGATTAAGAAAGCGAGACTTAAATCTCCCGATGTGTTTCAAGCACTGGTGATAATTTGTCCCGTGATAATGTGTCCCAGTCAGTGTAAATTGATCCTTAACATCTAGACAGTTTACCTGTGTTCTGGCTTCAGTTTCATCAAGCTCCTCACTTTTAGCTGTTTCAAAGATTCTACCTGGTCGCCAAGGATATTCAGCTTTATGCAGTTGGTAAATTTCCTGAAATAAAAATCAAATGCAAGATTAGAAAATTTGTAGGTTATGACACGACTCTTGAGTTTTTAATGTTTGCAAGCCACAACGATACTCTGCTTTAAGAGAAATGAAAAGAAATGTCCTACTTTTCTGCTCCTATACTGGGCTAATGAAGACGGGCATACGCCATACAGTGTGCTATGAGGGAAATTTTGCCCGGGCAGCGGCACTATCGCCTACTCTTATATCGAATTCCAACTGCCAGGGGATCTTTTACGTGCATTCCAATATATACACGGGACCTGGGTTTTTTCGTCTCATCCGAAGGACTAGACAGCTGTCCTTGTCAGGCCCTCCATCCTGCATCACTGACAAGGGGAAACCACGTCGGAAAATCCTGATGAACTTTCTCGGCCAATGCAGGGATCGAACAGGCTAGCGAGCCAGCGTCTTACCCACTTAGCCACCGTGGCTCCCACCGGTTCCATAATCCCCGCATCGCTCCATGTTTAAAAGAGTGGTATGAAATAACATAACTCCAATCTACGGAAGCTCAAATACGAACTATTTTGATTTCCTATTTCGATTTTTAATTTTGAAAAATAATTTCTAATTTCTATTTTTAGTTTTCTATTTTGTAGAATAATTTTTAATTTTCTCATTTTTTATTTCCTATTTTTATTTTTAATTTTGTAATTGTTATTTTTGTAAAATAATTGTTATTTTTGTAAAATAATTGTTATTTTTGTAAAATAATTGTTATTTTTGTAAAATAATTGTTATTTTTGTAAAATAATTGTTATTTTTGTAAAATAATTGTTATTTTTGTAAAATAATTGTTAATTTTGTAAAATAATTGTTAATTTTGTAAAATAATTGGGTTTTTTTGTAAATAACTTTTAATTTTGTAAAATAATTTTTAATTTTGTACGATATTGGTAGGATAATTTTGAATTTTGCAAGACAATTTTGAATTTTGCAGGATAATTTTGAATTTTGCATTTTAACTTTGAATTTTGCAGGCTAATTTTGAATTTTGCAGGCTAATTTTGAATTTTGCAGGCTAATTTTCAATTTTGCAGGCTAATTTTTTAATTTTGCAGGAAATTTTTTATTTTGCAGGATAATTTTGAATTTTGCAGGATAATATTTAATTTGGCAGGATAATTTTTAATTTGGCAGGATAATTTTTAATTTGGCAGGATAATTTTTAATTTGGCAGGATAATTTTTAATTTGTAAATATTCGAACCCAGTTTACATTTGTCAGTGCATCTGGTTCTTCCAACATAATCAGATGTACACATCGGTAGTTCATTTAAAAGACCCCTTGGCAGTTGCAGTTATAGAAATTTGGCAGAAAATCTCAAGTCCTATAAAGTTAAGATTACTGGGTTTTTTTGTCATAAGATCAAATCCATTTCAGTCTTGTTCTACAGGGTTGTGAGGGGTATCAAAAAAAACCCCATTTATTTCAACATTTATTTCTATACAAATTGACAAATAGCAAGATGATGACCTAAGTTATCTCTGTCTTATTTCTAATGATGAGACAGAACTCCTCGTACTGATTTGCTGAAATTCAATAGGTTTCTTCGTCTCAGTAATTTGAATGAGGCATACAAATTTCATACAAATCAGATGATAACGTTGGTCGTTAGTCGCTAGAGCGTTCACATGGTGCAACAGAGTGAAACAAGGGTCATAACTAGACTTCTTCTTCAATCATTTTCAGAAGTCAGATGATCTGTAGGGTGTTCACAAGAAATTGTGAACGGACGGACGAGGGCGGCGGCGATATACGGCCAATTGGAACCCTGTAACACAAACCATTCAATGATTCTTCTACTTTCAAATTAGACATGGGTTACAGTAAACGTAGTGTAAATCAGTTTCTAAGACTTCAGGATTTAATCCCAAACTTTATTTCACTCACTTATACAGAAAGTCTGTCATTGAGACAAGTGGAGTAGATTCGATTTCCCGCTTATACGTGACAAGGATTAGGGTCACCTGTTCAACCTCGTGGGCTTTCTCCCGATCCTCCGGTTTCCTCCCACTGCTAAAGACCCCTACACGCGAACGAATCATTGAAATAAAAATTGAACCGCATGTTAGTCCCGAAATGACCTAGTTCGTGTCAAATGGACGTTAAACCCCATTTCTCTCTTTTTCTTATGTAGATATTAATCTATGTGAAACCTCCGATTAATCTATTTTAAAAATAATATAAATCCCTAACAGGCAAAATGATGACTGAAGTTATCCCTGTCTTATATTTAATGATGACAGATGAATTCCTCGTTACTGATATTGCCATAATGCTTTAATAGTTTTATTTATTGGGCCATGTCGACAGGGCTCCCATACAATCCACAATCTTGCCATAACATTTCAGGAAATCTACAAACATGTGAAAGGGATTTTGAATGAATTAACTACAGAGAATTTCCAGACTTTATCAAAAGAAGTTCAGGATTTAAATATTGACACAGAAACAAGATTAAAAGGTGTCACAGATTTAATATTTGCAAAGGTGAGAATTTTACTAGAAATTTATGGTGCTGACAAAAAAGTCTTAATGTGCAAATAATTGCCAGCTTGATTCCATTCTGCTTTTAAGATCCGAGTTGTTGTATATTTATCTTATGCTAACAGTTGTTTTATCTATATTTTATAGGCTGTGAGTGAACCAGCGTTTAGTGTGGTCTGTGCTAACATGTGTAGAGATCTTATGAAGGTACGTATATCAAAACAAACTTTCTCCTCTAAAAAACATCTCATCCTCATCTTGCTTCTATGGAAGAAAAAGTTAAAACCCAAAACTATTTAATGCTTGATCTGTTATGAATGAGAGGCCCATGAAGGGGACCATAACTCGCGTCTGCGTGTGGGGGTGTGGGTGGAGGGGAGTCAGAGGTTTGCGCTGGTAGTTGACCAAATAATGGGCCTATGGTACAGAAAGCTATTCACATAACTTGGACAGTTTGAGGCACCCTCATACAAAGCTATCTTGGGATATACCAGTATTAATATATCAGGAATATTTACATACATCAAGTGCTAAAGGGTTTAGGAATATCAAAGTTGTACACATACGCTAACGCCCTCTGGTGTAATAATGTTGATAATTTCATTATATTTTTCTGGACATTTTCATTTCAAGATTTTAACTTCATAACTTTTTGAAACGTAGAAAATATTTTCATAAGAGTTCAAATTCCAGATTTTTTTTTGATACTTTCAGAAACCAATGAATTGATTTCTTTGTCGTGTAAAATTAAGAAATTATTTTTTAATTTTAATATTTAATGATATATAAAAGTTACCGATAAAACGCCGAAAATGAAACATAAAGTCAATTTTTTGTTTAAAATGTTGATTTTGTGCATGAAATGTTGACATAAGAATGTGGAAACAAGAATCATTAATTTAGAATGTTGCGTTCATGTCTAAAATGTTCAAACTGGAATGTAGAAACAAGGGTCATTAATATTGTCCCATTTGGTCTTCCATAGTCTGCAGGTTGAACCTACCTGTAAATAGTTGCCTTGAGAATCCATTATGTTGTTGGAATCGCCTCGCTTAAAAAAAAAATGAAATGGATTAGAGTTTTAACGTCCTACTATCCTGAACCGACAGCAATGGAATTCCAACTGTCAAGGGTTATTTTACGTGGACGGACGGGTGTTTTTTATACGCCCACATTTTCATGTGGACGTATATTGTCGTCGGCCCTGTCCGTCCGTCCACAATTCGTTTGTTGACACTCTACAGGTCACATTTTGTATCAGATTTTGACGAAACTTGAAATATAGGTATATCTCCAAAAGATCTCGATTCCTTTCGTTATTGCCATTTATCGGACTATAACTTTATGGATTATGGCCCCTGGTTGTACGAAAAATCACGTTTTTAGCTTGTGGACACTCTAGAGGCCACAATTTTGACCTGATTTTGATGAAACCTGAAATGCATGTATATCGGATCGTAACTTCCCTGTTTTTGAAATATTATAGAAAGAACGACCAGCTCTTTATCTAAATCTTACATAATGCATCTTTAAGCTTTTATCTTCTTCAATGATCCTTATACTTTGATAAAAAAAACAAACAGGTGGATTATAATTCCACGTAAAGTCGGAAACAAATTTCACCATTTTGATTTTTCTGGTGCTCGTGATGACTCACGTTTCATGCTGATATGCTTTCCACTTAAGGGGATGTTGTCTCTTCCTATTGCACATTAAATAAGCTGCGGACTTTAATCGTGACAGGGAGAGCCTTGACGACCGACGACCGGCGTCCTGGAAGGCCATCATCAGTAACCATTAAGGACAACATTACCCGGGTGCATGACATGGTGATGACTGATCGACGATTAACCACTCGACTAAGTTACGAATGACCACGAATCTCTGCAAGATGGGTGCCATAGCTTTTGACTGTGGATCAGACGCGTGTCAGATTCCTGACGCCCTATGACAATTTGCGCCGTTTTGAAGCAGGTCCTGATAATTCTTGGCCAGATTTGTAACCATGGATGTGACCGGTTTCAAAAAATGAAAAAGGAACTAGCCGGTCGCCATTTTTCCTAGTAATGATGACACACCATGTCAGCTGTGAACGACTATTTTATGGTGACTGAATAAAATGTCCTCCTGACCGGCACCCAAGCCTTGCAACATTGAAGGCAAAAGTGTGTACCCCTCGAAGGGAACTATGTAGAAAATGAAAACCACTGTCTTTGTGCAGGTATTTTACAGATCGGCTTAGAACTTTTCAGCCAGTCCTCGTACATTAGAGACACCTGGCGCTTTTCACGGGTAAAGATGTCTTCACGGAAACAGATGTCTTTACAGAAACAAGCATTTTCAACGATAATCAGATAATCAAGACTTTGTTTGTTAGCGTAAAAATGGTAGCAATCAGGGCCAATTTTAACGTGCCTACATGTACGTGCTATGTAGCCTTGTGAACCTAGCATGATTGTATGGGGAAACTTTGATATCATTATAATCATCGACCACTTTCGATTTCTGTTTCAAAAGTTTTGTATTATTGACCTATTCTCACCACCACCTAAAGCATGAAAATTACATGGCAGAACACCCTTGGGTGAAGGTGACAGTGAAGGATCATTTGCCTTTGAATCGACTTTAGATGTTTCTTTGGACTGTTGAAGATACTGCCACACGGTTATAAATATGTTAATGATACTGCCACACGGTTATAAATATGTTAATGATACTGCCACACGGTTATAAATATGTTGATGATACTGCCACACGGTTATAAATATGTTAATGATACTGCCACACGGTTATAAATATGTTGATGATACTGCCACACGGTTATAAATATGTTGATGATACTGGCACACGGTTATAAATATGTTAATAATACTGGCACACGGTTATAAATATGTTAATGATACTGCCACACGGTTATAAATATGTTAATGATACTGCCACACGGTTATAAATATGTTGATGATACTGGCACACGGTTATAAATATGTTAATAATACTGGCACACGGTTATAAATATGTTAATAATACTGGCACACGGTTATAAATATGTTAATGATACTGCCACACGGTTATAAATATGTTAATAATACTGGCACACGGTTATAAATATGTTAATGATACTGCCACTGGGTTATAAATATGTTGATGATACTGACACACGGTTATAAATTTGTTAATAATACTGGCACACGGTTATAAATATGTTGATGATACTGGCACACGGTTATAAATATGTTCATGATACTGCCACACGGTTATAAATATGTTGATGATACTGGCACACGGTTATAAATATGTTGATGATACTGGCACACGGTTATAAATATGTTGATGATACTGGCACACGGTTATAAATATGTTAATAATAATGGCACACGGTTATAAATATGTTGATGATACTGCCACACGGTTATAAATATGTTAATAATACTGGCACACGGTTATAAATATGTTAATGATACTGCCACACGGTTATAAATATGTTAATGATACTGCCACACGGTTATAAATATGTTGATGATACTGACACACGGTTATAAATATGTTAATGATACTGACACACGGTTATAAATATGTTAATGATACTGACACTGACACACGGTTATAAATATGTTAATGATACTGACACACGGTTATAAACATGTTAATGATACTGACACACGGTTATAAATATGTTAATGATACTGACACACGGTTATAAATATGTTAATGATACTGACACACGGTTATAAATATGTTAATGATACTGACACACGGTTATAAATATGTTAATGATACTGACACATGGTTATAAATATGTTAATGATACTGCCACACGGTTATAAATATGTTAATGATACTGACACACGGTTATAAATATGTTAATGATACTGCCACACGGTTATAAATATGTTAATGATACTGCCACACGGTTATAAATATGTTAATAATACTGGCACACGGTTATAAATATGTTAATGATACTGCCACACGGTTATAAATACCGGTATGTTAATAATACTGACACACGGTTATAAATATAAATATGTTAATTCTGTTATATTTTGCTTATAAAATTGTAAGCGTGAAATCGTGTTATCGGAAGTCAAATTCTGGACATTTATTTATTCATTTGTAGGTAATGGCGGGCATTTAAAAGACTATTTCATACAGATCAGATTATAAATTCCATCTTTTGAGGGTTCAAATGGTCAAAACTGAAACAAGGGTCTTAAATCTGGAAGTAAATTACAGAAATTGTTCAAATTTGATAGGAACTTTAAATAATGCATATAAACTTCATACAGATCGGACGATAACTTTTGTTATCTAAGCGTTCCCAGGGTTCAACAAAGTGAAACAAGGGCCATAACTCTACAACTAATTAACGAAAATTCAATAAGATTCTTTGTTTCGCTGATTTAAAGGATGCATATAACTTTCAGACAGATCGGATGACAACTTTTGTTGTTAGAGTGTCCACAAGGTTCAACAAAGTAAAACAAGAGCCATAACCCTAGACGTATTTAATGTCCCCGTCAGACCGGGTTGGCATCCTTACTGCGCTACTAACTGCGACCGTACGGCGACTAGAAAATGCACAAGGTCGCCGGCAAACGTGAACACAACGCAAGAAAGTGTCCCAAAAATTACAAACTTGAAAAAAGTCGCGTTCTCACAGCTGTCCAGGTCAGATCGCAGAACCTTCGCGTTTGTTTTGAACATGCTCAAAACAAACGCCGTGACTCGGCGATCATTGGCGACCATGGAAACCACAGCACGATATTTGGCGTTTCCACCACACTTATGGCGATCTTGACGCGCTCTGAGACCATTTCCGCAATAAGGACGCCACCCAGGTCTGACGGGGGTATAAAGGAAATTGCTGAAATTCAACCAGATTCTTCGTGTCACTGATTTAAATAACGCATATAAATTTCATACATCATACAGGTCGGACGATATCTTTTGTCGTTAGAGCATTCAAAGGGTTCGACAAAGTTAAACAAGGGGCATTACTCTAGACATAATTAACGGAAATTGCTGAAATTCATCAGGCTTTTTCGAAATAAACGGAAATTATTGAAATTAAATAGGATTCTTCCTCTCGGTAATGTTAACAACATTAATCAATTTCAAAACAATCAAATAATAAGTGTAGTCTGTTCTCAATATAGTGTGGACTAAGGACGAACAGACCGTCGGAGGGAGGCGGCGGCAATATACGACCATGTGGGCGTTAAAAAGGGGTCCTGGTAGCAATGCCAATCGAGAATATACTGTTTTTCAAATAGTCAGAACACAGAATACATAATATAACCATAACAAAGTTTGGATTAACAGAAATAAAAGATGAAGGCGCTATTGCACTTTCGTACCTCTACCAGTTCCCGTGGTCGTAGGAACTTGAAATTATTAGAGGATGTTAAGGGGGGCTAGCAATGACCACACACCAAATTTCAGCCGAATCGATAAATAACTTTTTATTTTACCGACCTTTTAATTTCTAACGAGAGAAAACTTCATCCGTTTGATGCCATTTGCTTTGTTTACTAATTAGACTTGAATAACAAGACACTAAGACGGAAACCGACTCGAATAACAAGACACTTAGACGGAAACCGATACACTGCACTAGCTGCCTAACACTGCAGTTCATAAAAATTAATTAATTTTCGTATACTTTAATTTTTGCGCGAAGCCACCATTTTCTATAAAATACTATTTGGTGTTGATCAGTGGATTGGCCTTTAGGTGTAAATATTGCCGTGACCTTGATTTTGACCTTGAGGCCAAACTTCCCATCCATATCGGGGCCTTTGCGTTTATGCTTGCCGTGGCCTTATTTCTTACTGTATTATCAAAGTTAATGTTCGAGGTGAAAGCAGAGATGACGTCCTCCAGAAAAGATATATTTGGGTTAAAGTCGTAGGTCAAAGTCATGTTACAGAAAACTAAATTCAAACTTTTCGAAGTCATTTTTGGGACATTTGACCTTGACTTACGACCTTGACCCCTAACCATTTTCGAAGGCTATCACATTGGCTTGAATCATGAACGTTTACCTTGGTCCTATCGCACACTGCTCGGTCAGAAAACGGTCAAACGCAGAGGGTCCGTGTCCGAAAGGAAGTCAATGGGCGTGGTCAATGTGAAAGGTCGTGGTGACCTCCACTAGTCACCGTTAACCATCCGTAACCTTGACTCTGACCTTGAGTCCAAACGTCCCATCCATCTCGGGCCCTTTGCGTTTATGCTTGCCGTGGCCTTATTTCTAACTGTATTATCAAAGTTAATGTTCGAGGTGAAAGCAGAGACGACATCCTCCAGAAAAGATAATTGGGTCAAAGTCGTAGGTCAAGGTCATCTTACAGAAAACTAAACTCGGACTTTTCAAAGTCAGTTTTGGGACATTTGACCTTGACTTACGACCTTGACCTCGTAACCATTTTCGAAGGCTATCACCTTGGCTTGAACCATCGACGTTTACTTTGGTCCTGTCGCACACTGTTCGGTCAGAAAAGGGTCAAACGCAAAGGGCCCGTGTCCGAAAGGAAGTGAATGGGCGTGGTCAATGTGAAAGGTCGTGGTGACCTCCACTAGTCACCGTTAACCATCCGTGACCTTGACTTTGACCTTGAGTCCAAACTTCCTATCCATCTCGGGCCCTTTTCGTTTATGCTTGCCGTGACCCTATTTCTAACTGTATTATCAAAGTTAATGCTTGAGGTGAAAGCAGAGACAACGTCCTTCAGAAAAGTTAAAAAGGTCAAAGTCGTAGGTCAAGGTCATGTTACAGAAAACTAAACTCAAACTTTTCAAAGTCAGTTTTGGGACATTTGACCTTGACTTACGACCTTGACCCCGGAACCATTTTCGAAGGCTATCAACTTGGCTTGAATCATGGGCGTTTACCTTGGTCCTGTCGCACACTGCTCGGTCAGAAAACGGTCAAACGCAGAGGGGCCCGTGCCCGAAAGGAAGTCAATGGGCGTGGAGTTTAGTTTTCTGTAACATGACCTTGACCTACAACTTTGACCCAATTATCTTTTCTGAATGACGCCGTCTCTGCTTTCACCTCGAACATTAACTTTGATAATACAGTAAGAAATAAGGTCACGGCACGCATAAACGCAAAGGCCCCGAGATGGATGGGAAGTTCGGACTCTAGGTCAGGGTCAAGGTCACGGATGGTTAACGGTGACTAGTGGAGGTCACTACGACCTTTCACATTGACCACGCCCATTGACTTCCTTTCGGACACGGGCCCCTCTCCGTTTGACCCTTTTCTGACCGAGCAGTGTGTGACAGAACCAAGGTAAACGTCCATGATTCAAGCCAAGGTGATAGCCTTCGAAAATGGTTACGGGGTCAAGGTCGTAAGTCAAGGTCAAATGTCCAAAAAATGACTTTGAAAAGTTTGAGTTTAGTTTTCTGTTACATGACCTTGACCTACGACTATGACCCAATTATCTTTTCCGAAGGATGTCGTCTCTGCTTTCCCCTCGAACATTAACTTTGAAAATACAGTAAGAAATAAGGCCACGGCAATCATAAACGCAAAGGCCCTGATATGGATGGGAAGTTAAGACTCAAGGTCAAAATCAAGGTCACGGCAATATTCACACCTAAAGGCCAATCCACTGATCAACACCAAATAGTATTTTAGAGAACATGGTGGCTTCGCGCAAAAATTAAAGTATACGAAAATTATATTAATTTTTATGAACTGCAGAGATAGGCAGCTAGTGCAGTGTGTCGGTTTCCGTCTTAGTGTCTTGTTATTCGAGTCTAAATAGTAAACAAAGCAAATGGCGTCAAACAGATAAAGTTCTCTCTCGTTAGAAATTAAAAGGTCGGTAAAATAAAAAGTTATTGGTCGATTCGGCTGAAATTTGGTGTGTGGTCATTGCTAGTTCCCCTTAACATCCTCTAATAATTTCAAGTTCCTACGACCACGGGAACTGGTAGAGGTACGAAAGTGCAATAGCGCCTTTATTATAACATGTACAATAATATCAAAATACTAAATATAGCCCAACTTCGGTGTCTGACTCGAATTCTAATCTACCAATCAATCGTTTACCGGCCAGGGAGATTGAACCGTCGGAAGAAAATTTTGAAAACTTAACTTCCTCAAACACGTTTTCCTGCTATTCCAGCCCGTGAATACAGCAAGCTCATATAGCCTACAAAAATGCCAACGTGAATGATACCGTGGACTTAAAAAAAAAAGTACTTGATTTTAATGTAATCATTATTTAGGCTGGCCGAACATTTTGAAAATTTAGACCTGCTGTGTGTTTATCGTTTAGCGGGACAATATTGTTACCAGATCGTTCTTACCGTAGTTGATTGGAACCCCTGTGTCAGCTAGTATTTGATGTTCTTCAAATCGACGTAGTAAGGTAGCAACAAAGGCTAGTTTCTTGGAAAAGCTCTCTTAAAATCTTATCTTATCTTGAAACGGTTTGAAGATCTAGGCCTGCCGTGTGTTCATCGTTTAGCGGGACAATATTGTTACCAGATCTTTCTTACCGTAGTTGATTGGAACCTCTGTGTCAGCTAGTATTTGATGTTCTTCAAATCGACGTATTGGTAGCAGCAATAGTAGGCCTAACATTTTCTTAGAATACGACTGGGCGGTTTCTATTATCATTTTAGAAAACGAGTGTGGGTTTTCCCATTATAAATTGAAAGTGAAAATAGGCTAATGGTTGGTTAACGACTGATTCATCATAGCCTCGGTCACCCAGAACATCCTAGTCTTCAGCGTACGCAGGGTCTGGCCACAGATCACTAATTATTTCCCCCATTGACTTTAATGTTAATTCTCGTCTCTTAGACCGGCTCTAACATTTTCCCAAATTTTCGTTGGGTAGAACGCTTTCTGCCACAGATGGAGCAACATGTGGCAAACTCTTGCCCAAAAGCATGTATGAGGTTCACCATGAAAAACTTGAGATACACAAGCTGGAAGTAGAGACAAGTAAACATGCAATTTCCGGCCCTACATTTCAAGGTAACCAACCTCACAACTCTTGTATCCTTCCGCCTCAAAATCATGAATATTCACCAAAACCTGATATATTTTCAAAATAGTCAAATAGTCAACAAAAATCGCCATGCAAAAGGGGGAAAAAGGGAAAGGGAGAGAGAGACTAAAAATAACTTTGGCCCTTGTTTCGTGGGTGACAGGTAGAAATATTTGGTGATCTGTGTCCTATATAGGGGTGAAACTTCAGGTATCACCAAAAGGCCTTTTTTATTTGCTTCCCATGTGTTCTGGCAACATGCTGGTGAATAGAAATCAAAATCAAAGAATAACTGCAAAAATGATGGCCCTTTAAGTATACATGCTGCTTTATGTACAGTGGTGCATCTCCAGTCCATGGGGCTTTTGTGCTAAAATTTAAAAATCTTTCTTATTAGGGGCAGTATTTGAGTTCTATGAAAAAATTAGACAAGTTGCAAACAAACTACATAGAAAGCACTCATAATTTGGAATTTTTTTCAAAAAAATAATTTTTTACTGCCATGTCATAAAAAATGTACAAAATTTACATGTAGCATCTTTCAAAATACCAATAATTTTCCACTTTTTTAAATATCCAGACTGGCGTTGAAATATAGTTTTAGAATCTGTAGACAATATGCAAACAGAAAAATTGCAAACCAGTTGTATTGATTGTAATATTAGAGATTTATACTAAAACATGTATCCCTACCCCCTGAACATGCCACAGATTGAATCAATCTAATCTTTGGTTGCAGAACTTACATTACCAAAGGAATCTGTCTAACAGCTATGTTTTACCATCCCTGGCTAACATATGTGCATAGAAACTAAAATAGGTGTAATATAAATATGATTTATGGTTTAAAATAGGCCTTGATGAATGAAAAAAAATGCAATATTTAGTCTATGATCACTCCTCTCTAACAAAAGGGTCACAGAATACACATTTTTCACAAATTTGGGAATATTTCAATGTTTCCAACATCTCAAACCTCAGAGGCATATTACAAATGTTTATTGCAATCCTTGTGCTGAAGCAAGATGTCTGGACCTTTACATCAATTTCCTGAAAAAATGAAGTCAAAAAAGTGGTTATGACAGAATTGACAACAAAAAGGGGCCTGAAAAGGAGCAAAATTTACATTTTATTGTTCTATAAGCAACATAAATGCAACAAACACCACAAATCTTAGATTTTGATAAAAAAAAAACAACTATTGAACATTAAACTGACATTTACAGATCTACACCAGTTTTGTACCAGGGTGTCGTCTCATTGGCCTGACATGTCTTATGGTTCTAAGTTTGACTTTAAATAAAAAAGGTTAGAAATCCTTGAAATGTACAAAATAACCATTTCTTGGTGCAAAATAACATTCCTAGTCGCAATTCAACCACAAATTCCAATTTCTATCATTTAATTGTCAACACAGGTGCAATTAAATCACTCAAAACACATTTTAAAAAAAGGGTGGGGTGGGGCATTTATAGCCTCTCTAAACAGAATGATGGAGTAAAAAATGTCTAGAAAGACTGGGATATTGCTTCCTACATGAAGGAAATGCAAGAATTTAATGTTTCTAAGAAGAAACAAATTATAACATAATGACTTATGTCATAGAGGCGTCCTGCCATATTAAAATACGTGTTAGTGATTGTAACATAAACCTGTCGCTATCAATACCCGGCTGGAGATCTTGGTAGTATTCCTTATGTCATTGCGTAACTATAACTTGTTGTTGGCATGTCTTATCTAACTTTCTTTGTCTGATAAACTATATTGAATGTTAAACCTTCATATGATGCTTGATACATTAGACAGGTGTCTAATGAGCTCCTTTGTCTCGAATACGTTTATAAACTCAGAACAGAAACGAATCTTCAGGCGGGTCCAGGAGGCCATGCTAGGCGGGTGCCTAGATCAAGGTACCTAATGGATACGAGTCAGGTCCAGGCAGGGCTAGGAGTTAGGTCCGGCCAGGACTGAGCGAAGGCCATGGGCGCCTTGGCACGAGACGGTACGAGACGACAGCTTCTGGAGTTAGCACACTCATGCTAAGCCAAGCTAATTAAGTCATGATTCCTTCCATATAGTTAGTTCTACGGTCGTTTACATCACGATGTTTGTACCTAATATTGTAAGAAGCAGAATAAAATTATTATTAGATGTATATACCAGTGTTGTCATCCAAGAACCTGATTAAAGTACCAATACTGTCACAAAATGCTTATTCTGGGTAAAATAGTTGCAAATTGAGCCAACCCCTGTTTTGAACATTTTGTACAAACCCATCTGCTGTACATTATTAACTCAGTTTTACCAATTTTCAATTTTCTGTAGGAAAGCTGGGGCTATTTCTAAACCTGACAAACTTATAGACCCCATCTAAGTTATATAAGCAATGAAAATAAGGGCATTTTTAGACATTTTGACACATTTGAGTAGTCATGAAAGCATTAATTTCTACATCGAAATGGGAGAATCTGGAGATTTTCTGTGAATATTCCTGATTTTTAGACAAAATTAGGTGAAATTTCAATACTGTTTACTTTGTCTGTGCTTTCTGAGGCTGAATAAGCCAAAATTGGACATTAAAATATTTTTCTTACTGTTAGAAATTAAATAAAAACTGAAAATTGAGAAATTTGCAGTAAAATCAAAATTTTTCGCCAAAATCGATAATTTTTTTTAAGATTTAACATTTTTTTTAGTTTTTCTGTACTCAAAATATTTTATACATATTTTCTGATAATTTAGTCTTCATATTTTCAAAAATAAGGCATGTCAGTCACAGCCGTGTTATACACAGACAGGCCACAGATCACTAATTATTCCCCCATTGACTTTAATGTTAATTCTCGTGTCTTAGACCGGCTCTAACTTTTTCCCAAATGTTCGTTGGGTAGAAGCTTTCGCTGAAAATCAACAGGCTTCTTCATCTCACTAACGTAAACAACGTATACCAATTTCAAAACAATCAGATGATAAATACGGTGTTCACAAGAAATTGAGACAGACAGACAGACAGACAGACTTTAATACTATAATCACAGATACTTAGGTAATTAATACTATAATCACAGATACTTAGGTAATTAATACTACATCATAGATACTTAGGTAATTAATACTATAATCATAGATACTTAGGTAATTAATACTATAATCATAGATACTTAGGTAATTAATACTATAATCATAGATACTTAGGTAATTAATACTATAATCATAGATACTTAGGTAATTAATACTATGATCAAAGATACTTAGGTAATTAACACTATAATCACAGATACTTAGGTAATTAATACTATGATCAAAGATACTTAGGTAATTAATACTATAATCATAGATACTTAGGTAATTAATACTATGATCACAGATACTTAGGTAATTAATACTATGATCAAAGATACTTAGGTAATTAACACTATAATCATTGATACGTAGGTAATTAATACTATAATCACAGATACTTAGATAATTAATACTACATCATAGATACTTAGGTAATTAATCAATACTTAATCGTTATAACAAGAATTAAACAAACGAAAATAGATTAGATTTAGTACAAGCAAAGTATAAATATAAGCAAATAGAATTAAGTTGAAATATGAATATAAAAATAAAACGGGAAATCACTTTGAGTTTATTAGAAAATCGAACCCGAAAACTTTCCATAAATTGTTTAATAAACGCAAATCTAGGATTAACTCCAATTTAGATATAAATTCATTCTATACCCATTTCAAGAGGGTATCATCGTCTAATCCTGTCCCAAATGCAATCGTCGATAACTTCCTAGATAACTATGTGAATAATGACCTATCGGACCTAGATCAACCGATTACTGAGACTGAAATAAGAGAAAATATTAAACGGTTACATTTAAATAAAGCATCAGCTAGTGACAACATTAAAAACGAAATGCTAAAATATTTTGAGACGGAACTAATACCATGTGTACTTAAAATATTTAATAACATTCTTGATTCTGGATGTTATCCGACGTCTTGGGCCGCAGGGAATATCATACCTGTTTTCAAAAAAGGGGACCCGAATAACTCCGATAATTTTAGAGGAATTACAATTGTATCTTGTTTGGGTAAACTCTTTATTTCGATTTTAAATAACAGATTGTTACAATTTGATAAAAACAATAACAAAATAAGCACGTGCCAGTTTGGATTTCGTAAAAATCAGTCAACAGTGGATGCTATATTTATTTTACAGGCTCTCGTTAATAGAAGTTTAAAAAAAAAAGGAGATTGTATTGTTGTTTTATAGATTATAGAAAGGCATTCGACTATGTTAACAGATCTAACTTATGGTATAAACTAATTCATGAGGGCGTTAAAGGGAAGATACTTGCAGTTATCAGATCATTATATGATAAAGTTAAATGTTGTGTAAAATATAATGGAGATCTATCTGAATATTTTGAAAGTACAAATGGATTATTTCAGGGCGAGTTTCTCTCTCCGTTTTTATTCTCATTCTTTGTTAACGATTGTGAGTCTCAATTCATATCTGATAATTGTCCTTCAGTTAATATCCAAACACTTAATTTATCCCATTTAATGTATGCAGATGATAAGGTCATATTTTCGGAAACGGTTGAAGGACTTCAAAACCTTTTAAATTCTCTATACAATTATACTCAGACATGGAATATGATCGTTAACACTGATAAGACCAAAATTATGATTTTTAGAAATGGGGGAAAGATCAAAACCACTGAGTCCTGGACC